CTTTTGCATACCTGGTATTCTCTTACTTGGATTAGGATTCCTAGGTTGCACCACATATGGCATGGTATAAAGTGAACCATCTTGCAAAATTTGACAACAACCACCATGATGAAATCTTTATGATGTTGTGTGTTTGGTAGTCCTGCTACGAAGTCCATACTGACATCAGTCCATGGTAATTTAAGAATGGGTAAAAGCATATAAGGACTTGCTCCAGTTTGACTTGTTTTGGCTTGTGGCATTTTTAGCATTTCTTAACTTAGCAGTCTACATCCCTGACGAGTAAAGGCCAATAAAATTTGTCTTGGATAATGGCCAATGTCTTATCTCTACCAAAATGACCTGCTAGTTCGCCATCATGACTGTCATACAAAATGGCTTCCCTAAAGGAGCATTGAGGTATGCAAAGCATGTTACCAAAGTATAGATACTCATGATCAATATTAAAAAGTTAAAGGAACACTTTTGACATATCTTCCATATTTTCTAGAAATCAAGATCACGCTCATATAGTCCTTGTATGGCTTCAAATCCCATTGTTTTGAGTTGCAAGATGTTGATTATAAGTAATCTTCTTCAAAGAGCATCTGCCACCGTTTGTTTTGGATGTGTAGATGTTAGAGAACTTTATGATAAAATAAGTACAAATTCTTGTTTTAATAGATAACTCTAATGTTATAATGCTTGTACAATGGCATACAATTCCTTGTCGTAGGTAGAATGTTTTATCGTGTGTCGTTGAGTTTCTCACTAAAATATGCCAAAGCGTGTCATTGGCTTAGTACATCTCAGATACCCATACTAGAAGAATCATAATCAACTTGAAATACCCAATGTTTAAAATTGCGCAATTAGGTATTGAGACGTTTTTTGTTCATGAGGCGAGGCGTAAGCCTCAAAATAAAATATTGTGTTAAGTGCAAATAAATGTTAAAAATAAATTTTTATATAATACACAAATAATATGTTAAAAGATGACATATTATCTTTCTATTGAACTATGAAGTAACACAATGACATATGAAACAAAAAATTGCATTAGACATAAAGCGTTTAGTGATAAATTGCATGAAATATAATTGAAATACAAATATTACATGAGCAAAAAATATTAAATATAGAAACTGCATAAAAGCGTTATATAACATTAAGTTCAACTTCAAATTCTTTCTTTCGTAACTCCCTACTTATGTACATTTAATTTCTAAAAAAAATTGAAAAGTTGGCAACAACTAAAAAATCATCTGTATTGTCATCACTGAGGCGATATTTAATTGAGTCGTCATTATAACAAATTGATTTCTCCCTGTCTCATCATGTGGAGTCCAATGCCTCCCAATATGCCTCGTCTTCATTTATTTCAGGCATCTTACTTTTCATAAATGTATTTTATCAACATAAAGATGAGATTAATACTTCAAAATTTTTAGAGGTGGTGGTGGTGTGCAACTTTCAAGTGATCCTTGACGATGGCTATGATGGTGGTGGCTGTGGCGAAGGCGACGGGCTGGAGGTTGAGAAGAAATTGCTGCGACTTGGTGGTGCACGAACTGTGATTTGTTCGGAGCTTTACTTTATGATTTATGTAAGTTTATATACATATACATATGTATACATATACATATATATATATCTATATACATATACATATATATATATATACATATATGTATACATATACATATACATATACATATATAAGGGTGAGGCATAAGCCTCACGTCAATGAGGCGAGGTGAGCCTCAAAGGCGGGCCTCATAAAAAAACCTTGAGGCATAAGCCCTAGTTTTGGGCTTACGCCTGTAGTCCGCCGGGAATAAACCAGGAGCCAGCCCTGGTTTTGGGCCGGCTGAATCGATCTATCAGTAGCAAAATCAAGTATTAGTATCACATAATTATCTTCGAAGTCTAGTTCATCATAAAAAAAGCATCATCATAAAAAACATTATCACAGCAAAGGATGAAAGGAATGGATGATAAAGCTGAGAAAGCTATTTTGTTTGTTTTGGTTTGATAATTTAGGTCTCGTTTGATTAGGCTTTTTTTCTCCGTTTTCGTTTGAATACGTCGAAATCAATTAGTATTTACTGTTTGGAATCAAAGCTTAATAATAATTCCTTTTTAATAAACATCGTTTTTTCGGCGGTTACAAAATTCTTTTCGTATCTGCTTCTTCGGTCACAAAACGGAGTTTCGGAAGCGAATTATGTCTTTTATAATAAAATCTCAAAAGCAGAACTCCTAAACAAACAATTTAAAATTACTTTCAAGTATTAATAAGCACTTTTAAAAATATTAGTCAAACATATCTCATTATTGAAACTCCATTTTATTGAACGGCTTTTTCTCAACCTCCTTTTTAAAACTCCTTTTTATATAAGCATAAACCGAATCAAACGAAGCCTTAGTGATTTAGGCAGTGATTCTAAAGATGGTATATATTATGGGCAGACGGGGTAAAATTGAAACATATTAAAAGTTTAAATGTGAGTTGATTAAAAGATGGTATATCTCAAAGTAAGATTTTTAAAGATTAATCTAAGAATTTTCATTACAAAGGGAGTGACCAAAACTTATGGCACACATTATTTAACTGAAAAAGTTCTAAGCTTTCTAGTTAGAAGAACATATGGGACATTAGGATTTGTGGAGTGGATTGATGGCCTAGAGAGTAAAAAACTTTTTTTAGGAAAACTTTTTAAATCTCGGTTGCTGAGTAGAGAGATCATCATAATGATTAAATATACTATGACATATGTGATCTAAAATGTTAAAATAATCATAATCAAAATCATCATCACAATGGTTTGATCTATGAATCCTAGTAATAGGAGGTGGACTTATAGTTTCCATCGTATGCATATGAGTGAGGATATTTGAAAGGATAAGATTAATGATGAGGATGTACAACATTTTAAACGATAAACATAAAATGAAACAGATGTTTAACATATTCTAATGTCTTTTGCCTATGATAATATGATACTATTGAAACTTGAGAGGTAGAGAGAATATAATGATGAAGAGGCTTGTTAGGGTTTCAATTAAACAATTAATTCATGATGAAGAAGTCAATTAGACTGACAAAGCTCATGGCTATATGGAAAAAAAATCAATAATGGTGTTGCCCTTATTGAAGGTTGGAGGATGGTGTCTTAGTGGGGAAGTGAACATCAACCACAGAAATATAGTGCAAGCAAGCAAGTAAAAAAGAGCAGAGAGAGATAGAAAGACGTAAGGGAGAAAACACACAAGATGAAAAGGAGTGCAGAAAAAAGCTGAGATGCAGCGACAAATAAATTAAGGGTTTGGTTCTACTTGAAGTATATGTAATGAAAAGGTGAGATTGGGTTAAACTCACGTGCAAGTAAGATGAAGAGGAATTAGAAGTGTGAGCATAATTAAACTTAATATAATGCACGTGATGAGTGCGACAACAGGATTCAGACAAAAGTGAACACATGACAAGATGAGAAGAGAAATCAGGATTTGATTAATATAATCAACGAAAGATCAAACCTGACTGTTATCCCAAAATTATGAAGATGAGTCGAAGATAAAAAAAATTATATGCATCACTTAGAGTGGTCCACCTAAGCAACTTGAATTGAAAGAGAACACACAATTGTCCTCACAAATAATGTGCATTCCATTAATGGCCGAATATTAATGTAAGTCATCAATCCATGCTTGCAGAAAAAGGATTACAACAATAAAGCAAAAATTTTAAAATCAAATATAATACTACTTGAAATTAAATTTAATCTTATCAAAGCACTCAAACTCAAACCTAATAAGCATCTAAAGAGGATTTTTCGAATCTAATAAAACAAACCAAATTAAAGTAAGAGAAATTCATCCTAAAATGAATAGGGTTCTAAAATGGCTTGAATAATTCAATTCCATTATAACCAATTTTGACTCATTTTGGTTAGTGATGTAGACAAGGGGGGGTCAACACAAGTTGAGTTTTTCTTGTAATTTCTTGTCTTGTGTCTTTTCATCTTCCCCCTCTCCTTCTCTTCATTATCTTGTCCTTTCATCTTCCATCTTGTTTTTTGGGCTGCTTGTTGGTTTCATATGGGCCTTGGCTATTTTCGGTTAGGAAATCCTAGGTTGGTTTGTCAAGTTGTGAGTTTGTCAAAATTTGGTTGTCAAGTTTTGTTTTAGTTTGTCAAATTTGAGTCTTGTGAGTTTGTCAAGTCAAGTCTTTTTATAAGTTTTGTAAGTTTCTTTTATTCTTAGAAAGGTAATCTCTTTTTGTGATAAAAAATTTGGGTCCCTCTCCCAAATTTTTGATTGCATCATTTTGGTATCAGAGCCAGGTTAGGAAATCCTAGGTTGGTTTGTCAAGTTGTGAGTTTGTCAAAATTTGGTTGTCAAGTTTTGTTTTAGTTTGTCAAATTTGAGTCTTGTGAGTTTGTCAAGTCAAGTCTTTTTATAAGTTTTGTAAGTTTCTTTTATTCTTAGAAAGGTAATCTCTTTTTGTGATAAAAAATTTGGGTCCCTCTCCCAAATTTTTGATTGCATCAGTTAGCCTACGAAAAAAAAGTCTTTTCTAGGCTAACTGTATTGCATGAAAAAGATAAATAGTTGTAGAGCTTTATTTTATTACTATGCAGCTTCCACCTAAAAGTGCTTCCCTAAAAAACTTTGTTTAAAACCTAAATATGACATAATAAAATGCCTCAGAAAATTTAGTATCGCCCACTCATCCCTTAAAAATGCCTCGAAATATCATGTAAGGCAAAAACATCACTCATGATTGATAAAGATTAGGATGAGAATTTGCAATAAAACAGGAATCTATCTTATATTCTATTAAGTATTTTTTAGCATTCTCTTCAAAGAACTACACAATAATAATAAAATTAGTATTAGTATTATTATTAAATCGCTTAAAAAAACAAGCAAACTTTTTGGGAGAAAGAAGAGCAATAATCTTCATAGAAAAGTAGAAATGACAGTGTATGCTATTTAAAAAATAAAAGAAAACATACCTTTAAGCCAACACAATCTAGGTGAAATGATGAAGGACAATGATCACATAGGATTAATGAGCCACCATCATGGCAAACAGAGCAAATGCTATCACTCTCATAGATGGAATAGTCACTTTTTTGTCGCGAGCGTTGGAAGCCCTCCAAAATTTCAGAACTCTGCATCTGCATCTGGCACTGCGATAAGGATCTTCCATCTTTTAGAAATATGTTTGCAGCTGGACGTCCCAAAGTGCTTCCGGCATGTAACTCAAAATTTGAGAGAGAGTATACTTTTGAACAGCATTTGCACTTAATCCCTTCACGAGTTATTCGTCCTTCCATCATAATATGACCATCATTTTTGCAAATATACATAACCTTCTGCCTTGGTAGTACTATATCATTTTCAATCAATAAAGACAAAACTGTTCTAGAGACATGCTGGCTGGTAGACAATGCATCAACCTCTCGTGATCTTTTGCTTGGACGAACACGACAAGAGGAAGTACTTGTCAAACGACGACGTTTCCTGACAACAGCCGGTGATGTCTCCCTCCTTTCTAATTTCTCACAAGCAGTGGAGCAACAAGCTGAGTGTCTCAAAAATTTCTGATCTAAACATTGGCAAGCAGAAGAAGCCATTCTTCTCTTCTTAGATCTCTGATCTAAACATTTGCATGCAGAAGAAGCCATTCTTCTCTTCTTAGATCTGCATTCTTTTGAAAGCATTTGAGAAAAACTACATGCCGCCAATTCAGTAGATCTGTTTGAGTCAGTGCAACCTTTTTCAACACAATTCTGTAATAGGTTGAAAGTTTCTTGGAAGTTTTCATCGGACATTGTGGTAGAACATCGGCAAACTCTTCTCAAAAGTTTATTATCATTATTCAAAGGTTTCCTCTCCCTAGACATGTACTCTAGTCTTCTTCTAATTCTTCCATTTAAAAGAGATCTTGAAGCACCAACCCCATGGTTTTCTTCTTCCAAACAGGCCTTGCAGGCTGAGTAAAGAGAAGGAAAGGGCTTGCCACTGGGAGAAACATACAATAATGCAGAATTTGTTTTCCAAACCCTCCACCCCACAGAGAAAAGATTCTTCTTAGCATTTAATTTTAAAATACTAAAATTCACAGAAGACTGTTTCTTCCCAGACATACGCCTCAAATTCCTGTAGTTAACATATTGCGTTACTGCTCCTGGAAAATTCTCTGGTTCAATATCCTTATGCATAGGAAACTTTTTTTTAGAAACTTTCGATACCAAATCTCTTTTCTTTGAGGAAGAACAACCAACATTAGTGTGCCTCTTACCAATAAAATCACATCTTGATTTTTCATTCATAAAACAATTATTTGATGTCTCATCAGATCTTGTCGCCTCAGATACCAGCCTACGCTTCCTCTGAAGATTTGTTTTTGTTTTTGTATCTCCATTAGCCACATTCAGCTTAGTAGCGTGTCTAGAGTCTTTGATTTTATGTTTCTTCGTGACAGGAAGAAATACATTGAGAATATTCTCATGTGGACCATATTTTGTTTCACCCCCATTGTTCATTGAAAGAAGCTCATAAGAACTTGGGACAAAATGGAAGCCGTCTAAACTCTTTAATTTATTCAACTTCTGTCTTCTATTATTTTCTGGCTGCCTCCCTAACAAACCAAAGCAAGCACTACGAAGGGAAGAATAGCAGCGACCCTTTGGTGACACAAAACGAACCCTTAAACTCCCACGCTCTCTTCTAGCTTCAATATTCCACCCTAAAGCTACAAGATGCCTTTTTGCTTTAAGCCTTAGTGAGCTAAGCTCTTTTTCATGTGATTTTGACCTTCTCGGAGCATCATCTCCAAATTTTTTATCATTTAAATATAAAGGTATTGCTTCAGCACAATTTTCAGCTTGAACTTCCATAAGCTGCCATGTTTTAAAGTTTCCCAAGGCAGTGATATTAAAAGTGCCATCTTTGGATTCAACCCCTTGATTCTGGCCAGCCAATTTATTAGAGACAAAAGTAGAGTTTTGGCAGTTGGTCTGTGCCATCTTTTGGGAACCATCAAGAACCTTTTCATAAGGTTCACAATGCATTCCATCAATGGATGCATGCTTCAAACTATAATCAAGTTGTTTCCCATGAGGGCTAGAATCTTGTGTGTTATTTGGATCATTTCCACTGGACAAGATAATAACTTGTTCCCTGCAAACCTCTTCGGTTGAAGCTTCTCTTTGTGACCCTTCATGAAAGAAACGCCAAGTAACATGGGTTTTAAAGGCATCGCTATCGCATGAGGACTGATCCTTAGGATTCAATAATTCAGGAAAATTACTTGCAGGACCAGAACTCATTCCACCATTTACCACGACAAATTTTCCATCTGAAACAGGAAGAAATTCCCGTGAACAATCTATAGCATCAAAATTCCTAGGGTTTTCACATAACTCCTCACGAAAAGTTGATAATTCAACTGGAAGACCGTTAACTACAGATTGAAGTTCTTGTATTAACTCTGCTACCAATTCATGCCACATCAATTTCGATCCAGAAATCCACACTCCAATCTTTTCTAAGAATGAATTCATGCTTCTTAAGTCATACCATATTTCCCTAACAGAGACAGGCAATGGACCTTCCAGCTCAAAATTTTGGATAACTTGAAGAAACAGCCACAGTCCACGATGTTTCCAATGTCCGGAAGCTTCATTCCATTCCTGGGTGATACGAAGCTTTTTAAAATTAACAACTTGCTGATCTCCTTGGTCGGGAAAAAAGACCAGCCGTTCCAAGGAGCCCTCATTGTGATCAAAAACTACACCTTCCCACCAAGCATCATCCACAAAGGCATCAACACAAAGCCCATATATAAGCTCAGTTGCCTTTATTCTGTCTTTAGGAGGTACTGGTCTTATCCAGTTACGATGTAATTTTGAGGTGTTTCTTTTCAAACCCTCTATAGCAGCTGACACACGGACTATGTCAACAACCTTTGAACAATTGTCTTCATTCAAAAGATCAGTAAGCTCCACAGTACGAGAAAACATTCCACAATCAATGATCACACCAAAATGCCAAGATCCCTTGAGCCCTTCTTCAGAATATAGTACCTGGAATAAAGAGGACAGACATGTGGAAATATAAAGTTTCTCTTAGCAATAAAAATGGCATATAAAACCACAAAGTTGGACATAAATTACAAAACTTCCATAAAGATCAAAATGTACAAACACACCAAAAAAGATTGAAGGCCATCGGGAAATAAAGATGATGTGGAATTTACTTCAAATGTTAGCATTTAGTTCAAAAACCAGCCTTATCCGCCCCCCCCGTCCAAGCATAAAAGATTAAAAATTCAAACTGCTACCAAATCCATTCCAAGAACAGGAAGTTTTATTTGGTTCGGTCGACCGAATGAGAAAAACATTCGGTCGCAGGCAAAAATCCCACGGTATCGAAAACTCGGTACACCTCGGTACCGCGGGATTTTTGCCTGCGAACCGAATGTTTCTCTCATTCGGTCGGAGGACGTAATAATTGTTCCAAGAACAGTGGCCTGACAAGCAAAGGAGAATTTAAAAGGATTTAATTGAGTCACTTTCTTAACTCTATGAATTTTTTTCCTACACAATTCCAGTTTTAAGGAGCTAATTAGCTGCTTGTTAAGGCATCATCCTTCCTTTATTGTATTATGAATTAAATAGTGCATTCAAGATAAATATTGGCTTTTCAAAATATGGATCAACTGTAATATGTGTTTTTCAAGTTGAATTTTGAATGAATTATTATTTCCAAATCTCCCAAACCCCTCTCTACACGCTCTCTCTCCCTTTCTCTGTTTTCAGTTTAAAAGGAAGCAGGGAACTCGAAGTCTTCTTTCTATCTCCATCTATAGTGGAAGTCTGGAAGATCATATCCTGCAGCCCCCATTCAAGCATTCCCTCTACAGAAGCCAGCTTCCGCATCCAGAGAGGAGATTAAACAACAGCTGTTGTCCTCTCCTCCATTGTGATGCAAACAGTTCAATTTCTCTGTTTAAGGCAAAAATCAGCGAAAGATGGATTTTTTTTTAAAGTACAGTAAGAGGAGAGCAGAGAACCCTATCGCTGGAGAAATAAATTAAGTGAGTTTATAAAGAAATCCTAACTTCATTATGGTAATACCATTTTCAATTTTCTTTGATAATTTATGCACAAGGTTGTGAAAATCAGACCTAAGGAAAAACCGGAAAAGAGAGGGGGTCAAAGTTCAATGATTCGACAAGGGTTGAACCGGAGTCAAACTGGATGACATAATAAATATTAAATTATTTAAATGATACCTAAATAATAAAATGACGATGTAATAATTATGAATAATATAAATTTATGACTAATAAATAAATAAAATTCATGCAAAAATAACATATTCTATAATTTTAAATTTAAATATTCTAAATCATTATAAATTTAGTTCACTACTTTTTAAATTACTTTTTAAATTAATTTATCAAATTTAATATTAAATTTATTAAACTAATCTATTTAATTATGTAAATGAGGAAATAATTGAACTGGTTGATTCTTATAAACCAAGACTAGTTCAACAATTTGGCGGTTGAACCAGTCAAACTGGTTGGGTCTAGTCCGGTTTTTAAAACAATGTTTATGAATCCATTCTCCTAGTAGATAAACTATTCTCTATTGAGTTAAACATTTATTCCAATTGGGCCTTAGCATCAAATTTATAGATCCGCTTGGTAGGCTACCTAGACATTATCAGGAAACTTTATGTGATCTCAAATATTGCCTTAGGTAGTTAAGTTGGGAAGAATTAAACCCTCAACCTAATAGTGGTAAGTATGTGACACACCCTTAAAAACCAAAAACACCTAAGGATTCCCTCAAAACCATGGGGGGAGAATTGGAAATCAATCCTATCAAAGCATAAATCACCTTCAAGGAAAATAATTTATTTACATGTTTAAATATTACTTGGATAGCTTAAAACTAGGTGGCATAGCATCACTTAGCTCTATCATTTCGTAAGTCAGATTTCATAACGATAACTAACTTTCTAATTATAATATCTTCTATCAGGTATAAATAGACTTCTTCTCATCCATGCATCTAATAAGTTTGGATGCAGTGCTGTAGCGAAGTTAACCACAGAATCAATGTTTTAACGTCCACAGATCCCATTTTCTATTCATTCAAACCTTCAGCATTCATATTCTAATCAAGATTTTGTCAATCACAGTTCTTTCTGAGCAGTCTCCAATGACAGTCTCACTGTTTCAAAAGGCCTTTTCTTGCATCAATCAATCATTTTTTAACTAGATTGACATTGCTTGGATCCAACTTTTATTCCCAGGTAGGAAGAAAGGTGTGGGTGTTTCTTCTTTCATTGACAGAGTACATGAGAACAAGAAACTACCCCTCTTCGAATAAACCAACAACAATAATTTGAAGAAGAAAAGGATTGTCCTCTAGAGTTCCTTTTAATACCCCTCGTTCTACGACACATAATGTTATTAGATACTCCCTGTGCTATCACCTAAAGAAGTACAACAAAATATGAGATTTGAGCTAGTAGGACCACTGGCCATGAAGGTAACTAAGCAAAAAGAATGATCCTTATAGAAGACTGGAAATACACAAAGCTAGATTGAATGAAAGTTGAGAATTATTTATGTAGGATGGACGAGGGTCTGCTATAAAGGCACGGTAAAATTGTAGTTGAGATTATGGTAGATATGAGGTACTAACGATGAATTAGCAGGAGATTTAAGGCAGAATTGTTGCGGTAATAATGGATGAGTGGAGATAGAATTCAACAGCACAGAGTTGAGTAGTGAAAAAGGCAAGCAGAGACACACTTGATTAAGCAGGTGGAAGCAATGGGATTATAACAAGAGTAGGCAATGCCTTAAGATCAATTTGATTGGCTTGGAAAAATTTAGCTCTACAAATTCAACAATCGATATCCTTCAAGTATGCCCTAGAAAAACAGATAGGCCTTCTATAATGTAACCCATAAATCATTACAAATAAATTTGTCATCTCAAGATAAAAGATACATGTGATATCCAACATTAACGGCGGATAAAGCCCGATAAATGTGTTAGCTTCTAGAACAAGACAAGTAAATCCATTTGCATAGGTTTTGGATATTCATTCGTAAGGAGAGGATGGAAATAGAAAGGAATAAACAGTACAAGCAGCAAATTAATGAAATAAATTCAAATTGGATGCATTAAATTTTAGAAAACTACCATAACTTTCTAGAATTTTCAATTCATAAGCATCTGTTCCAATACATTGCAAAACTTTATATGGTTATGCCTTTATTGTGTTAATTTATTAAATGCTCCGGTACAAAATATTCTAGATTTGGGTGCACCATCAGATTATCATTGGGTTTAAATTTCACATATTTCATGTTTGCAAATGAAAAAAACTTACAAATATCATAATTTACTGTTAGTTTCTTATGAATCCATTCATTCAAATCAGATAAATCAAGTGAATGATAGAAAGAAAAAAATGAAAATATTTAAATTCCAATTTGTGTCCAATAGGATACTGACAATGATTTATATCGTAGTACCATATGATAAGATGATAAAGAGAATGAAAAAAAAGGCAACTCATACTGCCTAAAAGGTTAAACAACCTCTTCAAAATAAGCTATCCCAAATGGCATAAAGATGAGATGTGAAGATTTTTACACCTTTAGATTCAATTAAACTTTAAATTTTAAGATTGTTTTATGGCCTTTGTTACTAATAAATTCACTGGAATGTTGATGAGATTTTACTTTCTCCCTAAGAATATTTATAAATTTCAATAACAAGAAACTAAGATTCAAAAACAAAAACAACTTTAATTTAATTGGCAAATATAATTTCATCAAAAACTTCATCAAAAATTAAATCAATCTATTTAATCAATTTATCATATATAATAGGCATAATTTATTTACTATCACCTTCAAGATTCGCTTCGTATGTCTGCTCATTAAACTCATCCACAAAAACAAAAAATGATTTATTCGGCTACACATTCAACAATAAATCTTATCAAACATAGAAGCTCATATTCATATTCTGGGGTTTCTATGGTAAGTGTAGGTTCACAATCAAGGATGGAATCAATTTCTATTTTTATTTAAAACTTGAATTCACATTCAGTGTTATATTCAGGTTCTCATTGCAATTTATGAACAAATAGGGCCAATGACAATTTCTAATTCATTGTCCATTTGAGGTTTAAATTCATATTTAATCTCACACTCAAATTTAGTTTTAGTCTCAAATGCTAGCTCTTGTTCAAATATAGGTTCGGTTTCCTCTGAATTAATCTTAACTTCACTTTCAAATTTAAATTCAAGCTATATCTATCGCTCCAGTTTAATCTCAAGTTCAAAAACAAATTATAACATAGGTGCAATTGTATAACATTAAAATTCATCACAATTGGATATAAAGTCATGTTGCAATTGTAAATATTCTTATATATCAAATATATCCTCAAAAGAGTCTAACTATAACTATGTATCTTTTTCTAATTCATCTTCAAAAGGAAACATGAATACAACTGCTTCAATGGGATCAAATTTGATCAAACATAATACTTGTGTTGTTGCATGATTGACACATTTGACAGCAGATAATGATTCCCTATGAGGACTTCAACTTGATTAAGTTCATTGATTATTTGATATGTTTTTGGGTCAAAGTCTTTTAATTTGCTGTGCAAGTAATTAAAATCTCATCTTATAAGTGATCCATCAGCTTACCCTGCTATGAGTCCCACTTCTAATCATTTTGCTCATATACTTAAGAGGAAAAATTATTTCTCTTTAAGGAATTTAATCAGTGTAGCTGTCATATGTTAGGCCAGTTCAAATTTACAAGAGGCGGACTGGTGGGGTCCGCCCCCTTTAATGCTGCCACTCATTTGGAGCAATGGGGAGAAAGGGGTTTTGGGAGGCTAGTTTGAGAGGGAAAATTTGAATGTGAGATGTTTGAAATTAGTAAATGAATTGTATTAGTAAGGGGGCTGGTTGGAGGGAGTCTTCTCATGCTTGAATATTTGTGTTCTATTGAGTTATTGGGTGTTTGGGCTCT